GCGGCCGAAGAACACGACGGCTTATGTAGACGATCATTTGTGGCTCCATTGTAACGCATCAGGTGATCCTAAACCCAAGATCAGTTGGAGCAAAGAAGCACAAGGAGGGGACAAGCTGGATAGAGAGCGTTTCATTCTGTTCCCTAATGGAACTCTTCACATCAAGAAGGTGCAATTCGCTGATGAGGGCAGGTACTATTGCATCGCCGCAAACCATGCTGAAATGAAACAGAGCAAATTCAGTCTTAAAGTACAAGGTAAGTTCACTTCTGTTGTATGTCACAGCGTTTTATTTTCTTTTGCTAACCTGACACCTCAAGCTTTGTCCTCTTTCCTCTGTAGGCTTTTTTTTGGAGGGGAGGAGAGGGTTGGGATTGTTAAAGTGGCTGGTGATGTTAATCTTTGCTCAGCTTGGTCGTTTTTAAAACTTTGGTTTTTGTTTTATTACATTCAGTTGAAAGCTGTTCTAATAAAAGTCACTAATCCGTGATTTTTTTTATCATTACATTGGACAGCTCATCCTGTCGCCGAAGTTAGCAAATCGACAGCCTCAATGGCTCGCACAATAGGAATTGCAGTCGGGTGTGCTGCAGCTTACATTGTTCTGGTGGTGGGTTTGATGATCTACTGTAAAGGGCGGCGGGCCAGGCAGAACAGGAAAGAAGAGGTCTTACCTCCAGAATGTGAAAACTGTAAGTGTCGTAGGTTCTTGAATCGACAACAGAAGCATTCTTGCTTCATCTATTTGACGAAGCTTTTATGATAACAAAATGAGCCTGCTAAAGACATCCAGTTTGTTGCTAGGGTGATAAAATTAACCGGTTTTAGCCAGAGAACGTTGATCAGAAAGACCCTTCACGTTGGTGCCTGACTTTCTGTGATGCAGTAACATAGAATGAAAACACTGTTTTGTGCAGTTAACTTAGTGTTCTTGAATAATTTTGAAGTCGCTTTATGTTTGCTTTCAATTGAACTTTTACAACCTGACCTGTTTTCTTTGTTACTTTTGGTCTCACAAGCCACCCTAACCCATTGCTGCCAGAGTTTATGCTGGTATCTTTGACATGAAGCGACTCTAGTATAGTTTCTCCTTCTGGACGGGTTGTAAATATCCTGGTTAAGACTCGAACTTAGATCTCTCGCTAAGGATTCTAGCGCGGTATTCATAAGGCCCCACACTCGCACAACTTTGACCTCTTTTGAATTATCAACAGTGAACGTCAATGGTGACGTCGAACATAAAGACGGAGAGGGTAACGACATGACAATGAACCCCATTTACAGATCACACCCTGGCTACGACAAAATGGAGTTTCCTCGACACGATTTGGAGGCCATCAGGAGCCTGGGTAACGGTGCTTATGGAAGAGCATTCTTGGCGCGAGCTAGCGGAATCCGCGACGGTGAGAAGGAAACCATGGTGGTGGTGAAGGCATTGGTGAGTAATGATGACCAAGTGCGCGAGGATTTTAACAAGGAAATGGAAGCGCTCTGTGGTCTGCAGCACGATAATGTAGTCACTCTGCTCGGTGTGTGTAAGGACGAAGAACCATTTTACATGATCTTCGAATCGTTAGAAAAGGTACGTCTTAACTTAAGGTTTTTAGAGTTTTTGATGTGAGTATACAGTCAAATCACCACAATTATTAAACCCTGTAACTCTCAGGATCTGATTGTATATTCTCCATTTAGATGCCGCATATTTCGCCTTGTAAATTAGTTTTCTGAATTTGGTATTTGATTAAGATGACAACGTCTAATTAATAAGTTTAAGTATTCTCATTTCCTGTTTGCTGGATATTGTATGGATTTTATAGGGAGAAGTTACATGTTTATCACAACCCGGAGTTAAAGAGTCAATACTACAGATGTAACATAACAGTATGAATACATTTTCGAGCAAACAAAAAATGGAAATGAAAGAAAAAAATCTTTATTTAAATGATTATCTTGAACTAAAATTACTACTAGCGTGCGGGAAGTTGCGGTTGAACGGACGGTTAAACAAACTCTCTAAGAGTTAAGCTATTACAATAGTTCCCTAGAGATCAGAGCACTGTTTGTCCAAAATACAAGTCAACGTCTGAAATAGAAGTGGTCTTATACGAAGCGAGAGGAGGCGGGAAGGAATGGGAATCATTCAGGAAGTTGGATTGTTGATGAAGGAAGAGATACGTGCTTATTGGCTTATTCAGTTGACAAAAAAAAAAAAAAGTGTCAATGATTTTTAATCAGATTGCCAACGGGAAGGGCAAGATTGCTATTGCTGTTGCGCTGTATCTATAAGCCGTGTTTTTGATGTCGCAATCAGTTTGGAGTTGATAGGAATCTTGGATTAACTGTTAAACAAAGAGGTGGTTAAGATTAGAAAGGTATAATTTCAACTTAACCGCAAGAGATAAATGGATCAAAGGCGGTGAACGGTGATAGATAACATGAGACTAAATTTCTAATGGTTAACCAAAAAACCCTGGCCGTAATATTCTCACCAATTTTTGGCCAATGTAAAATATTAGAAATGATCGTGAAATACGATCATACGATTCAAATCTAAGAAAGTTGTTAATTTTTCTACCTCAATGTTAATCCTATAATATTTTGCAAGTGGCGCTGCGTCGTTGGGTTATGGAAAGACAGTTTGGTTTTATCAACTGATTTGATAAGCGTAAATTGGCCATCAGAAAGAGTTTCATAAGATAGCATTTCGAGCTTTATCCCTCAGTCGTAGCGAATGACAAAGTCTCAACACTCGAAACGTCAGTTGTAGGCGGAATTGACATGCGCTCTCTTTGTTATCGCTGATAGAACGCTAAATACTTTGTTTCTTAACAAAAGGAAAAGAAAAGCCGAACAGAAATGTTACTCCTAACTGTTTAAGCTGGGGGTAAATCGATTCCCCTGCTTTTTATGCAAAAAAAAAAAAAAACTCGAATCCGACGAACTAAGATCACTATCTTAAATAACTTGCCATGCCATTTAAGTCTAACCGCAGTGACTGCGGTTAGACTTTAATTTCCGGGCATGATGGAGGCTTAGAAATTAGCATTAAGGATTTGTTAGCAACGACCGACTGTAATGGATGACGCCGCTGATTTCATATTTGAAAATCCTTTGAAGAAAATTTACATCAGGTCACAAAAGCAGGTTAATTTTTTTTACGATTGCATTGGTTACTTGTCACCTCATTTTAAATTTGTGGATTAATGGATTTTTTTCGGCCAAGTTTCCATGTGGTCTAATCTGGACACCCTACTTCATATAATGGAATTGTGTTTGAGTAGAGTTCCAAAGTGAGTCCTTTCCGAAGAAGGGTAACACAAATCTTGTCGAGTTATCATAAACTTGCAGCTTAGTGACAACTCTTTCCTGCCGGCGGTGATTTTCTCGCAAATTAACAGGATATTGCAGACCCAGAAGGGGGCAATTATCATAAAAACCTATATTTAGGTAGGGGTTTAACTTGGGTGTGCCGTGAACTAATCGGCTTTCTGGTGTTAAATCGCCCTCATGTTGGATGTCCGCGATCTGTCAGAAGGCCTCCTAAGTTTGTTTGAGTCGAAGGTCACGAAAAAAAACGAAGGAAAAGAAATCATTTTTTTCCAAGTATTGTAATTGACTAACGAGATAAAAAGTGTGCGTTGGTGTTTCTGAGCAAATTAGACACGGATTAACTGGAAAGACAATTGGATGCTGCTTTCATGTCGCAATAAATTGTCGCACTGTTAAATAGTTTATTTGCAAGAAACTTTAAAAGCGTTTGTTTACTCCACTTTTTGCTTTGATAGTTCCTAAACCTTTTAAACGATTCCTTATAAACAAAATTTGTTATTGAGATAACATTGCAAATGTTAAAGAGCGAAAGAGAGGTCTTAATTGATTTATTTGTATTTAAGTTTGAAAATAACTTGCGCGGGATTTAAAACCGTTCCTCAATCTCTAATCCTTATCTTTCTCCTTTGGCGCTTTTACTTCATTGAATGACCGAGACATAATTCCTCCGTACATTAAAATATTGAGCTGACAGGTGGTGTGAATGAAGAAAAATGTTAATTTGGGGATTATTAGTTGATACAATACCAAATTCTCAGAAGCAACTTCATAAGAATTTTATAACAGACTTTAAAGAGAACTACTAATGAGACCTTTGAAGTGAATTGGTGAATGATGGGACTATAACCTACTGATTAACATTTGAGGCTTGGTTTTTGTCGCAACAAGCTAAATTGTGGTTTGTTTTTGTAACTTGTGTTGTGATTAGTTGGCGTGCGGAACCCACGTAAACTCTTCACGTTTTTCAAGCGAGCAGGAGCACTTGCTTGACCTGCCATTCTTGCTTGCCTCGTGCCTCCGTGCGCTCGCCTGTTCTGTAGGCTTGTTATATTATGCGTTAATTGTTTAATGGTTCGCCGAATATCCAATCATATTATTAGAGAATGGTGGGGAAATTATAGTTTATGGAATTTTTCTCCCTCTTCTTTTTTTAGGGCGACTTAAAGCAGTACCTTCTGTCTTGCTATGATAACGGCCGAAGTACGTTGAATTCAAATCAGAAACTCGCCATTTGTGGACAACTGGCGACGGGAATGAACTATCTAAGCTCGCAACACTTCGTCCACAAGGATCTTGCTGCAAGGAATTGTATGGTTGGTCGAGATATGCAGATCAAGATAGGCTTTTTGAGTTTCAGTTACGATCTCTACAACAAGGAGTATTACCGCTTCAACAACGTACAGATACCGTTAAGGTGGATGCCTCCAGAGGCCATTTTCGACGATGATTTCTCCGAGAAGAGCGACGTTTGGTCGTTTGGAGTGTTGGTTTGGGAGATTTACACTCTTGGTCAGCTGCCGTATCACGATCGGTCGAACGAGGAGGTCCTGAAATGCGTTAAGGATGATCTGCGTCTGCCAAAGCCTGATAACTGCCCGGATACGGTTCTCGAGGTTCTGGAGAAATGTTGGGAAGGGAATCCGCTGGCTCGCCCGTCCTTTGCGGAACTTATGGATGACGTAGCGGGGATTAGCGTGGATAGTCACGTTTGATTTCATGGCGTAACCAACCCGCTTGAATTCTGTAATGAAGTTAGACTCCCTGAACCGTGAACCACTTCCTTACTAGCCAGTGGTGTCATGATTTTTCAACCAAGGTGATTACAAAGTGCCGAATAGAACTAACTTATTTCTTGCTGACAGTGTAATTTCAAATTAATGGCACTTGGAGAGATTTTGAACTGAAGGCTTATGAATGATGCTTTCTAGATTGCTGGACGTTGTTGTTGTTTTATTTTTTCACGATTACGGAATGCAATTATTTTTTTAGGCCAGAATCTCGTGAAGGGATTGTATTTTTGCGCACAAGTTTCTGCTAAAGATCAGGGAGTTTAATTTATTTCAATTGCTTTGAAATCCATACCGACGTGGTATCAGCTACGACTGATGGTGAATTTATTTTAACCGATCGATACAAAAGCCTTTACAAAGGTATCTGGACAGAAAAAGCAAAATTGAACTTGAAAGTACAAGAGATTTGTTGGCCATCCTTTTTCCTCGCTACTGATTGCCAAGTAGGCAGAACTTGAAAGAGTTTAGAAGGATTTCGTAATCTCCTTGGACTTGTACGCGTGTGCAGGTAAATTACATAGACCAGTCCAGATCGAGATAACATAAATTCGGTGGAAAATCTCTGTAGCAGTGAACACCCCAAAATGTCTAGGTTTATGATTTAGAAACCGGATTACTGGAATATTTTTTGCTCTGAACTAGTTTAAGTTTGGTGTGGTGGGCATAAAATTAGTATTTTTTTTTTAATCACGATAGCTTACGTAGCCAACCAGAACGTGAAGATAAACTTGCCAAATAACCAAAACAACGCGCGCGTTATTTTTATCAGCCTTGAATGCTTCGATAAAGGTATTTTTCTGTTTTATTGTTACAGATATTATTGTATTTTTTAAACTTGAATTTGTACAAGGGGACAAGATGAATTAGCTTAGATTTAATTTATTTTGATGGGATGTTATGTACTAATTACTGTTATTGTGCTAGTAAATAAATGTCAGATTCGTGTTGTCTTACGTCATTAACCTTGTGACTGAAGCAGAAACGAAGGTGATTTAAACGAAAAAAAGATTTAGGTAGACCCGGGTTTTTGAAGGTGAATTAGAGGTTATGTTTAGGTACACGGTTGCCCATAGTAAATTGTTTGCTTCCACTAAATAATCGCGCCATAAATGTAAAAACGTGTTAATGGGTTCGGTAGCTTTCTTGGAGAAATTTTCCAGTCATTTAAGTTAATTGCATTAGTCGAAAGGTAAAAAAAATGTTAGATTTAAAAGTAATTTTATAAACTTGAATTCCAGTTAAGCAGGGAAACCCTTATTTTATTATACATTTTGTTTTTCTTGGTCGTAAACCTTAGTGTTAGATTTGAAGATGTTTATGATAAATGCCAGTCTCTTGACAACTTCGTACCCAGCCCTTCCCCGCTCATCAACAGTCAAGTGTTAATGTTGTGCTAGGGGAGGAGTAGGTGTGCAATTGCCCAGATACTGACATTGATATGATTTTTTACGACGTCAAGAATTACAAGGTTATTTTTTTAATTGTAACCATTGGAATTCTCTGTTTGAAGGAGTTCCTAGATCCAGGCTACTTTTGAAGGTGCTGCGGAAATTATTTATGTAAGCTTACTGCTTTTTGTGTGGATTGTAGAGCGTACTAGTCGCTTTTTTTATCGACTGGTAGTAAAGGGGCTGCGTGCTTGCTTCTAAGGTGTATTGGTAGAGTAGATTATAGTTCACTTTGTAAACTTAAAGTAAGAATTTTTTTTGTGTGTTTTGCGATTATGGTTTTAGAATCAGAAACAATGTAACTTAGCAATTATATTTAGACCTAAACAGATTACTCTATGATACAGTAAGGAACTGATATCGTGTTGAAAAATTTGTTATTTTCAATTGAGACTTTCACTTGAAAAATGTACATATTCTTAGTAATTTGTAGATTTTTTTCGGTTTAACAATCCGTGTGATCTTAGCTACCTGCAATTCAATTTAAAAAACAAATAAAATTGTAGATTTTATTTGACATAATCATTAGGTTGGTTACCATTGCTGTTTGTGACTCGTTGAAGTTTACGATCTCTGCTCGGTTCTCAGTCTGAGAAACCGTGACAGTGCGGAGTACTAGATGTGGGGTTAGGGAGAGAAGAACCAAAATTCGATGCTCGTCTGACCTGCACAAAATTGAGTTACAAGTTTTGGAACTAAGGTTAAAAAAAAAAAAAAAAGCGCAGAAGTTTTGGGTATGGACTGCGTTTTTGACGGCGCGAATGTGACTGAATGAATGACTAAGACTTCTGTCAACTATTCAGAGAGCAACCGAGATCTGAGAAGGAAAATGAAACACTCTGTATTCGTTCCCGGTCCCGGCATTTTTACTTTTCTCGCTGTCGATCGATTTCACAGACCTGGCGTCGTGCGGATGGAAGGACGGACGGACTAATGTTGATCGATCGGTTCACGAGTGAGTGGTTTGTCGGTCTGTTATTGGTTAGGTGTGTCACGTTAGGCTGTGAGCTGGCACTCGATGGGTATGCATCGCGAGAGTAAGCCTCTCGCGAAGGCCGCGAGGTACTGATGACAACCAAGAGTTGATATTCTCTTGTAAGGAACTATTCGCATGCTAGGGTGCGTTTTGTTGCTTTATTGATCGAGCTACAAAAATGATCAATACAGATTCACTGATCGACCCACTGCTCCACTGATCAAGGCTTTATTTCTTGCCTGTTGTATTATTGTGCTTGCCGAATAAACTGAATTTTCAAAATCTAATGTGCGTGTTTACCTAATAAAGTTTTTAAACATCCACTGGTTCAACGACATTATTGTTCATCAAGAGAAAATTACAGAATTATTTTCTCCTCCCTTCAGACTATTTCCTTTTTCTCGCTTTTTACTTAAAGTCAATTTCCGCAAAATTTAATGCAAATTCTGGTCGGTGGGTTTTCAGTACGAAACAATGCATCTAACCCTTCCACCCCTTAGACTGACCAGCATCTAATTTCTCCTTACAATATCATCCCTGAAACACACATTAAGGTCATGAGGGTAAAGGAAATGATTACCTACTAAAGCAACTCTTAATTGTTAAACAGATTCTTCCTGTCAGCATCTTAGGAAATGCATAGAGAAAAGGCTGGCGAAAATGCATACTGATGTATTTACATACAACAATTTTAGCTCTTCCATAATACAAGTGAAGCCACAACCTGCGCGCTTTCGGCTCTTTGCTAGAATGAGATCGTTATAAAAGATGCAACACTTACAATGCAAAAAACCAACAAACGAAAAAACAAAATGAAAGTGTTTGATGATGCGCATGTCATAGTTATAATGTATATATTATTGCCAGCGCGAAGATCATCACAAGAAAACGACCACCAAAATCCTTGTGCCCGGCTGTATAACGTTTGGGGATTTCTGTAAAAGAAAATAAGAGATATAAAATAAAACTGTTTTGAGTTTGCTGAAGATATCTGTCAAAATGGTCACCATTCCACCCGAGTGAGCGCGGCCGAGTTTCATTTTGTGACCCACGTGACACAGCTCATTTAAGTTTCCAAACTCTTGTTTCAAATTTCTCATCTCACAAGTTGTAACTTGCGTACTCCGGCTACGCAGCGGATCTTAGGGAAGTGATGATTAGTGAAGAATGGAAAACAAGGCCCTGGCTTTTTGCCGATTGTCTTATTGGAATGTTTACATTGCATGCGAAAATGAAAAAGAAATGCACCAAGGGAACTCGGCGGTCAGTTTGTTAAAAAAATTTGATCCTCTCGTTTCCTATGTCCGCAATATCATCGTTGATTTTTAACTTAACACTTCTTTGCAATCACCCAACGGTTTCCTTTGGGATAATTTCTTATATGGCTATCAACAACCCACATAATTTGGATAACAATTTAATAATTATCTCATTGATCACAATTATTTTTAAATAAAAAAAAATGGCCTAAACGTAACCTTTACGGGGTCTTACCTCTCACAAAAAGATATCGCGTACCGTATTTCTGTTTTTTGTTGGCGCTCGTCATACAGAAATACTTCCCCTCATCACCAAGCTGAACGTTGGTTATGTGCAGCGAGCCGTTTGCAACAATATGGAACCTTTTCTCGTCGAGCATTTTGCTGCCTTGTCCTTTTTTAAACCACGCGATCGTGATGCGCGGAGGATCTGCTTGGATTGCGCAATGCAACCAAGCTGAGTCACCCTCAGAAACTGTTACGTTGCTTGGCCTATACAGCTTAGAACCTGTGGAAAGAAATTGCTATATTTTTTTTTCTGTTCCAACCACTCTAGTGGCTTTGAACGCCAGGATGCTAAACACATGTCACCCTAGTTTACGATCAGGCTCGTCAGTGAGTTGTCTGTAACTCAATTGGAGAGACTCCACCAGGTAATAGGGAAGATGCCATGTTGAGCTACAGTCAGCATGTAGCTTACGAGGTGATACTTTTGTTTTAAGGGCATGGCGTCGATGAAAAAAGAAAAGCTAGCTTGTCATCGATCATCCTCTATCCTCAATTATACATTTTAGTCCGAAGATGTGTGCATATTTGAAAATGAGGGTTTAAATTGGGTATAGTGTTCATAAGAACCACGGGATTGTATCAACCAACGTATTCGTCCTTCACCTCCGAACTAATAACAGAAAGAGCGAAATAACCAGTTAAGAGGACATAATCGAACTGTTACAACGAGCGACTTGTGTGCGTGCTCTGAGATGTTTTAAGGTTAAAATTTATCGTGCCATCTACTTACTATACACGAGCAAATCAATGAAAGTTCTAAGCGATTTGAAACCATTTGATCCATTGCAGTAATACCGGCCAGCGTCCGAAAGCCTCACTTTATGTATATTCAGTGAAGAGCCATAGGACTCCATTCTTTTAGGCAGCTTCTTCATGTCTCTCCTGCTCCAGGTGATGTTCACCTTTGGCTCACTCTCGAATTCACACAGCAGTGTTATCGTCATTCCCACAAACGCTTTGGTAACGTTCTTATGAGTGGCCTTTATTCTGATTGTGTCAGTTTCTGAATGAAGAAGAGGAAAGACTCCGAATTACAAGTCAACTCCTACGAGGAGCTAACGCTCGAAACGTCAGCTTTGAAACTCCTTACGATGGCCAATTTACGTTATCAACTCAGTTGGTAACACCAGATTACCCTGTTTATAATAATCAGGCTGGAGAGGATTATATTTTTACTTAGCTCAGTCTAGAAATAGAAAGATGTAAGAGTATAACATAACGAATTAAGACGACATTTGACGATGCAGAACTTAACGTAACGTTCCTTCGATGGTGGCAGGGGGGAGGTGCATTTTACTTAAAAAGATGGAGATATTTGGAATTTATCAGAAAATGTTTAGTATAAATAGAAGGCTTTTGGGGAATTTAGATTTTAAAAAAATGATCGTAAAATTGGCAGCTTTATTTCGACTCGTTTCCTTACCACAGAACAAATTCATTTCCTGTCAAAATCATAATATATTTCGACCAGCAAGCAATACAGTAACGAAACCGTGTTCCGCCATAAGAAACAAGTTGAATGAGTTGGGTCGAACTGATGCAAGTGGGGGCGAAATCGTTTTACATTAGGGGAGCGAAGTTGTAAAGGTGATTGGGGGCGAACTTACTTGCAATAGGGCGAAACCTCCAATTACCTCTGACTTAATGCGACGTAGTTTAAATGTAACATGATGTTTCGTATCATACCCTCCTTTTCATTAACGGTGTGCTGCACCTGACATACTTACCATAAACGGTCAGCCATACTCCGGTTTCTTTATCTTGAGAAGGATCATCACGGGCCGAGGTACAATAGTATCGTCCTTGATCACCCAATCGTACACCATCTACTTCCAGGTTACCATTTTTCTTTGAACTTACTCGACCATCATTCCCTAAGTAAACTCTTTTTTTATCCGTCCAGAATGATTCTGTTTTGGGTGTACCTAGGGCCTTGCAAGGCGCAACGAGATTGCCTCCATCAACGGCCTTGATATCTTCAGCCACTGAAATTTTCACTGCACGTAGAGAATAGTTCACATTGGTGTAAAAGTTAAAAAAGAAAAAAAAAACGCACACAAAGCACATGACGTGGTGGATAGAATGGAGCAACTCTGTTCTAACTCATCTAAATAGAAAGTTTTTTGGGTGTATGAGCCCTTTTAAAAAAGATTGAGGAGTATTTACTATTTCGAACAAGTGGCTGTGCGACCTCTCCCCTCTTCTGCTCCTGAAGTCAGAGAACTTAATTAGCGACCAGTCATTTTTCCTGCCAATGCGGTGGGAAAGATAAAAATATTACAGAGCTTTATGGAGGAGGGAGGAGAGAAATCAGGTAAATTCTATTGCTCAGTACAATATAAGGGCTAGTATAAAATTTCTGATTCTGCCTAGCTAAACTGACTCAGTAAATATAGTATTATTACAATATGAACTTGTAAGAACCTATCACATCACTAAAGCCGCTTTTCTGCGTTTTCTACTCTCTCTCTCTCAACGAAGAAGAATGAAACTCTCTACTCTCTCTCCCTCTGTCTCTCACCCTCTCTCTTTCTCCTCTTTTTCTCTTTCACCTCAGGGCCTCAATTGTTAATACAACAATTTCAGGGTACAATCACTTCTTACATGGAGCGAACTGCAGACTTGAAGGTCATACCTACCGGGGGTTGAGAGATCGACGTTTATATGGGCGTGCCCCATAACATTTCTAGCCATACACACGAATTCAAACGCCATTTCTGCAGTGTAATTCATCATTTCCAAGGACCCGTCGCCATAGGCCCTGAAATCGCTGTCATTTTTCGCTGTCAAAACTCGTGGACCATACTTGTCGCCCATGTAGTACCATGTTATTTTTGGACGGGGGATTCCTGTTGCTCGGCAAGGAAACTTTAACTTCTGTCCTTTAGGTGCAAGCTGCATATATCCACCTTTATGAAAAATGATCTTTGGTGCAGTTCCCACTAAAAAGGAAGAGAAACAAATCGAGATTTTCAGTTAGTACCACTGAAACTCTTAAA